TTAATTATGCCCGTTTTGCCCTTCTCATCTTAGCTTTTGTCTGTGCTTCACTGTGGCCTCAGAGAACTTTCTAGCTGAGAGGTTTGCTGCAGTTCTGGGGCTTTCTGGCTGCCTGATAACCTTACAGATTATTTCTCCCCACTTTGAACTTTGTTTTTCCTCCTCTGAATGCTTTGCTCACCTTTCTGTGGGGAAGTTTCTGTTGTGGAAACATTAGATGTATTTATTACCGCTTGGGGCCACACTCTGTTGCCCACATTAAATGTATTGAGATCATAATTTCTGGCCTTGGAAAACCACCAATTTCAGTTCCAGTGACTGATGTTCATCTGCCATAACGAAGGCTAAGCCAAGATCGAGTGGCTTTCGTATGAAGGAGTTACAAGTTTTAGAAATCCTCATGATGCTCTGTTGCCAAGATCGAGAAGGTAACCACGTCGACAGGTCACCACAGACTCCTAGCACTCCTCTCCTACAGCAAACGTGGGCACAGCAAAGGGCCGTGCTCATAGCCAGGAGGGCAATGCTGAGTGGGCTGTGGGGAAGAAACCCCTCAGTGCAGGTGAGCATCTTGTTAAATGGAGGAGAACTCAGGGGTCTGACTGCAAGGCTAGGATTCTGGATGCAGTGATGTTTGCCCCGTGGTGATCCCAGCCTGGGAACTCATGGAGGAGAAGCAGCCACGCTTGCTGTGGCTGAGGGCAAGTTCTTTCCATGGCTTTCAGCATGGTCATGGTGTAATTAAGACTCATGCTCCTCCTGGGAGCAATAGAGGCCAAACTTGTGCACCTGGTATTAGCTAAAGACTTAGAAAATCTCCAGAACTCTGACAAGCAGCACCACTTCTTAATGCTCTTATGAACTGGCACAGTCTTTGCCAGAAGCAAGGAAAGCATTTAAGGACCTGGAATTGGAGGCTTGGAGCAAATTCACACCACTTATTGGAAAAACACAGTGAGGAAATAGCCATTGGCTAGAAGTCAGGGAAAAGCAAGTTACTACAAGCAGAAAATCATCCTTCAAACTGCCTTCAGCTGAGGTAGGCTTTGGCTGGGCGGCTCATTTTGGGAACTGTCTTGGCTTGAAGTGTTGGTGGAGGAGGCTGAGCTGCACAGCACAGCTGCAGTTTGCAGTGGTGGTGCTGATACTTGTAGTCTTTTTTTCTGTGATAAGGCTTTTCTCACAGCCCTCACTCACAGACAGACCCCCTCGCTTAGTGTTGTGTGTTCAGGGTGCTCAGCATGCTGTCATCTGTAACCAACAGAAGAAAACAGAGTGGGCTCTGGTGCTGGCTGCTGGGCTTCTCTGCTTGCACCTTGCAGCCAGCGAGTTCCTGAGGATCACAAACAGTTCTGACAAAGGGTTATCCTTCAGCTGAAATCCTAGCTTCATCTTTTCAGAAAAAAAAAACCAACAACAACAAAGAAAAGGCAGTTTGATGCGTGGCCAAAGGAATGAATTACACAACAGCAATTGCAAGGGGAGGAAAAGAGAACAAAACAACACATTATGCTTTTGTGCAAATCTGCCTCCTATTTGTGGTTTGGATGCTGAGGGCACTTAACAATTCCACCTCTCCACAGAAAATCTGGGAGAGCTGGTGAGGCTTGGGGACAGTGGCACAGGAGCATGGATGTGACAGTCTGTGTATGAGAGGCTGCTGGGACTGGAGCCTCAGGAGCAACTCAGGGCTGTGATGGATGTCCGAAATCATGGCTGACTGCAGGGGGTGAATGGAGAGCAGCATCTGAGGGGCAGCAAGAGGAAAGTTATTAAATGAAGCAAGTGAGAACCAAGCTCCAGTTAGAATTCTTCCTGCTGTGAATAGTTAAGCTGTAAATGTTGCTCTAGGGCATGTTCAGTGCCAAAGGCTTACATGGCTTCAGGGGGACCCTGGGCAAGAAGCCACAGAGGGTCACTGAGTACATAAAGGATCCATCTGGCTCAGGCAGCCCCTGAGCCGTGCGTGGGCACAGGACATCAAAGCCATTTGCCCTTATGAAATCCCCCCCAGAGATGTGCTTTTGGCCAGGATCAAAGCCTGCTTGGAGTGTAAGGGCTCCGAGCACCAGCACATGTCCTCCACCCCAGCAGAATATTGGACTCATTGTGAGGATTTACAGTATCGTTTCTCCCATTCCCATCCAGGCTGATGATCTCTGCCTGCCTCCTGCCTTCCCTCTCTAGTTCTGCTGTTCCCAGTGAGCAGTGTATAGTTGTGCCTGGTGCTCAGTCTCTGAGATCGTGCTGGAGGATGCCATGTGTTTCCTTTGCCCCTGCTGTCCTTTGAGCAGGAGTTTTCACCTGCTCTTACTTAATGACAGCTTTTCATAGGGGAAAGTAGTTGTGCTTCTTCCCTATATTTGGTAAAGATGCTCGTGATCTTTTCTCCAAGCCTTGAATGCTAGTCTGTAGTTTGATCTTGGCTGGCCTTCCCTCATGCTGTTACTGATTTTGTGAGCCTTCATGTGCCAGTGAGAAGCATCTACCCCATGGGTACCTCCTCCTTTACCCCCTTGCAGGAGCCAGCATCCCTCATGGGACTGACCACACTCCCCATCTGCAGGCCCTGGGGGCACAATGCCATGTATAGTCTGTGGGCAGCCCTGCCTGCCCGAGCCCACTGGAGGCACAGCCTGGTGCTGAGCAGGAGGAGGGGGTTTTCTAGGTGCCTCTCACACACACTGGCTCTGGAACAAGCCCACAGCCAACTCCTACCTGCTCTTGCTCCAAATTTGTGGCCACTCTGTGTCCGTGCCACTGAACTGTCCCTGTCTGCTTGCAGAGCCGTGTCCCTCCACCCTGCTGCAGAGGCACATGGCAGACCTGCTCCACAGCGACTGTGACTTGGCCCCCAGCTTCCTGAACAGCGTCCTCAACCAACTGAACTGGGCTTTCTCTGAGTTCATTGGCATGATTCAGGAGGTAAGCATGTCCTTGGGGCTGCACATCCCTGCACCCAGTGTCCCACACCCAGCAGGACTCAGGACCTGAATCTCAGGGGTGAGGATGCAGCCGTTCCCTGGCACATACAGGAACCAGACTGGGCTGGGGTTTGTGGCCCTTCTTTTGGGAAGAGGCCTTGTTAAGGTGTCTCTTTCTAGATCCAGCAGGCTGCAGAACGCCTGGAAAGGAACTTTGTGGACAGCCGCCAGCTGAAGGTGTGCGCCACGTGCTTCGACCTCTCGGTCAGCCTGCTCCGGGTGCTGGAGATGACTGTCACTCTGGCCCCCGAGATCTTCCTGGATTGGAATCGCCCATCATCTGAGCTGCTGCTTCGGAGGCTCGCCCAGGTATTGGCCTTTGGCATAGAGGGAAGGAGTTTCCCTCCAGAGAGGGTGTGAGTGGCTCTAAGCTCCTGGTTTGGGGAGTGTCAGCAGAGAGCAGCGCGCTGCAGCATGCCCCTCACCCTGCTGACACTGCAAAGCTGTGCCCACACAGTTCGGTGCTTTGTGCGTGCGGGTGGCAGAAAGAGGGATGCTTTGCTCAGAGATTGCATGGCTTACAGTGAACGTGTCAAGCCTGGAGCCATCCCTGCTCATCCCACTTGGCTGTGGGTGAGAGCTAATGGTGGTTGATTAAGTGCCTGTGCAGCTGATTCCTGCAGTGTAGAAATCTCCATCTGTGGTGATGCTCTGTCACACAGAGAAGCACGCTGCTTTTTGTGCTTTTCCTGTGCCTTGGGGCTGGTAGGGCTGTCCCACTGCCATCCCCACCCCACTGACACTGCCTTGTCCAGTAGCAGCTGCCAGCCAGCTCTTCATGGGCTGTGGCTGTGCCCCCTGCTTCCAAAGAGCTGCTTGCACAGAAGCAGCTTGGCATCTGTAGGTGGAGTATAAATGTAAGTGCAAGGTGCTGACCTCAGACATTCTCTGCTTCTCCCTGCGCAGCTCTTGAACCAGGTGCTGAACCGTGTGACAGCTGAAAGGAATTTGTTTGACAGAGTGGTCAACCTCCGTCTGCCAGGTGAGTCTGTGCATCAGCTCTCCATCCCTCTGACCTGGTGAGAACATGCTGGAAGCCCTCGGACAGTGGACACATTGTGGCCAAGGTCATTGCAGAGGTGTGTGATCAGCAGCTGGATGGCTCTGGCTGTCCGCAGCAGAGGTGGCAGCTGGGCTATGCCTGTGGCAGGTATCTTGCTGGAGAGGTGCACTGACCTGACATGGGTTAGACTGGAGCTGTATGTAGGGCTCAGAGGCCTGGAGAGATTTCAGTGTATGTAGCAAACTTGGTTGCTGTGCACTGCATTGAGTAAAGAGTGTACTGAATTACTGAGGCAAGCTGTTTGCATCAGCATCAGCCATCTTCTTCCTGTTCTGCCTGTTAGCAGAGGCAGGCTCCAGGTACTGTGTTGTGAGCATCCCATATTCACCATAAAACAGCTGGATTTTCCTGCTGGCTTGACAGAGGACAGATTACCTTCTCCTCCTGGGGCTTGGAAGAGGCAGGGATGCTCCATTAGGAGAGCAGTGCCCAAGCCTGGGGCTCATCAGTGGGGAAAACTCCTGTTTTGTGGGGACCTGTGTCCCCTGCAGCCCTCTGCAGAATCAAAGTCCCAGACCTGCGTCCTGCCACCAAGGCTGGGAGTAGGCTGCAGCCCCATCCCACCTGCTGTGCAGCAGCACTGATTCTGCCTTTCACTTTTGCTTCTGTAGGACTGGAGAGTGTGGACCATTACCCGATCCTCGTAGCTGTGACAGGAATACTGGTCCGGCTGCTGGTGGACACTGATGCTCAGGGGTGAGTGGCTTTTGATTTCTTAAGCACAGTGTTGCTGCACATGGCATTACTTTACTTTCCCCATGTACATACCCTGGGAGATGCTCCAGGAGCAATAGGGGTGTGTGGGGACTGAGGTGAGAAGAGGTAGATGTGCTTGGAGCGTTCAGCACATTGATGGCAGCTGGGGAGGCTGCACACATCTTTGCTGAAAAAGCTCTCAGTGGAGCCAGTGGAGCCATGCCTCGGGCTGGTGGTTTGTGTGTGCCAGTGCCTGCTTGTGTGTGCCAGTGCCTGCTTGTGTGTGCCTCTGCAAACAGGCTCATCCTGATGTCTTCTGCAGCCTGGTTCTGCTCTCTCCCAGTACTGCCCTGCCACCGTGCCCTGTAGGATGCTGTAGGAAAGGGCTCTTATGTCTGCCCTGCACGTCTTGCTTTAGAGAACATGACAATCCCTGGCTGTGCGCAGAGCAGAGCCCCATCTGGCCACGCAGCTCAGCCATGCAGACAGTCTTTCTGCTTCTTCTCTCAAGGACTCAAAGATGTACACAAATACATCTAATTATATCCTGCTCCCATGGCTGCTGCACCAGTCACACAGCCCCAGGGGTGACAGTGCCAAGTGCTCAGTGCAGAGTCGCTGGCAGTGGCCTTTCTGGACTCTGGGTGTGGGTGTGTTTCGCTCTTCCCCAGAATCCTGCTGCATGAAAAGGGCAAACATCATAAATTTGACACCACAACTGGTTCCTTCCTCCTGGAGGGAAAGGAGGGGTGTCAAGCAGTTCCCCGTGTGCCTGGCAGGGTGAGAAGGCTCCCCCCATTCCCTGTCCCTAAAACATCTGTCCTAGAGCTAAAAGCTGTTTCTCTGCCCTCAAGCCCAGCGAACTTAGGAAGCAGGGTGTGGGTTGGAACCTGCAGCTCCCAGCCTGCATCTCCCCTGCCTGGAAAGCCAATTGTGCTTTGGGTTGGTGACAGCCAGGCAGCTGCTGTTACAGTTGCTGAATGGCACTGTCCCCCATGTGTGAACGGTGCCCACAGCAGCTAGGACAGTGACAAACCAGAAGTGCTGTACCCCGTTGTGCAGCTGGGAAGTGGAGAGTCTGAGGCTGTTTATCAGGGCTTTGCAGCCACCTCCTTGAACACTGGAAAGCAGAGGTAAATAAGCAGGGGAATGATGCAAGAAAGCATTGTGTCCTTATGGGGGGATTGGCTGAGTGGGAGAGGCACAAGGTGAGACAGGAGGAAGCCCAGGAAAATTTTCTCTAAAACAAAATGCTTCTGCATTATTTTGCAAAGCCCAGCAATAATTCTGAGATTTGATACGCCACTGATCTATAAAAGGCAGGCAGGCTTTGCAGGGAGGTTGCTCAGGTCAAACAAGACATAGAAGTACCAAGGCTGAGCATCCCAAAGGCATCCTTGGTCCCAGAGCAGGGGGTGGGCAGCCTGCTGGTACCAATTGTGTGACAGTGGGCAGATAACTCTCAGGGAAGGAGAGCTGAGCACTCACTTCTTGCCAGCTCTGAGTTGGTGAAGAGGGCTGTGCCCTGCCTACAGGGTGGTTCTGCTCAGCACAGCACATTCAGAACCAGCAGACAGGGCTGCAGGACCAGGAGGTGCAGCAGGACTGAGCATGGCCCTATTGAGATCTCTGCCCACAGTCACCCTAATGCAGAGAGGTGGCACAGCTCAGCAGCAGCCAGCACAGAGCAGGCATGGGGAGGTGTCCTTTTCCAAGGACGTGAGCAAGAGGATGCTTCTTGGAGTGAAAAAGGAGAATTAAACCTTTATCGGGTTGGTTCTGTCCCACAGGAGATGGCTGCTGTGGGTTGTATTGCTGCAGAGAGCCAGCAGCAAGGATCCCATCCCCAGGTTCAGGCTGTCGAACCCGTTTACATGAACCCAAGAGGAGACAGCCCTCCTTTTCTCTTTTTTGCTTGCTCTCAGTGGGGCAAGCAGGTAACAGGATGGACATTCCCCTTCTGCAGAAGCACCACCTGGAGGTAGAAGTAGGAAGAAATTTATTCCAGGTCCCATTTGGCACCTTCCAGATTTTCAGAAATCGTTAGCAGAGCAATTACACCACATGAATTTGCTCAGAGGAACCTCTCCATAGGAATTACCCAGAACTAGCTGTTAACCTGCTGGCTTCCCTGCAGAGAGCTCTGCCCTGGAAGGTGAGGACAAAGGGCAGGAGGACCTCCTGTGACCTCCTTGCTTGAGTCTGTGAGCTGACCCTGCACCAGGTGCTGGGGGCTTTGCTCTGGGACAGCACACACAGCAGGGAGAGCAGGGCTCTGCACAGTTCCCTGGGTGCAGCAGGAAGTGGTCTGATGCCTCAGCTGTGCTGTCCAGCACGATAGGCTCAGCCAGGCATCAAGTCCTCCTATTACGGCCTCCTGGCACAAAAAGGGCCATTAAGCACAGGAATAGGGAACATTGCCCGGGCTGGGATGTGAGGAGACAATTGATACATGGTGTGTGTTAGTCCGAAATGCACTCCTTAGTTCTGTGGGGATGGCTGTGCTCCTTGCAGTGAGGCAGCACTCAGCCCAGCACCCGCTCCGCTGAGCCCCAAAGCCTGGCCAGCCAGTCCTGGCACTGGCAGCAGGGTAAGGAGGAAAACTGTGTGGTGGTACCTGAGCATCCTCCAAGAGCTGCTAGCCTGGGCAAGAGCAGAGCCTGACGACTTTCATCCTCAGCTCACTCCTGATGGGCAGGGTGCAGGATAGAGCCTGCCAGCTCATAGTGGGGTCTGCAGCAGTTCCAGTCTGCAGCAATTCCAGTCCCCACAACAGAGAGGGGGCAGCAGCATCACTGATGGTGCTCCCAGTGCTAACGGGATGCCCGTGTGCTCCGTGCTTTGCCAGGCCCTAATGACCATGCCTTTCTTTTATGGGGAAGAGAGGGAAGGTGGGAGCTGAGCCTGGAGCTGCTCTGAATCACTGGGACCATGCCAAGGACCCGGGCAGCCTTCAGCCAGTATCATCCCCCTGTTTGTCTGCTAAATAATTGAGCAGATTTTCTATTAAGCCTCCTTTGGAGTGAGCTAATGGAGCCAAGTTGGCCAGATCTTGTGTAATGATCCTGATGAGAGCGAGTGATGGGGGAAAGGGCAGTGCCTGAAGGTTCTCCGCAGGTGTCTGTGTGTGAGGGGACACACTTGGTGGCAGTGGGGCTCTGGTTGGGAGGGCTGGGATGTGTTCAGGAGTTCGGTGCATTTGTTGGCAGCACAGCTGTGGTGGAGCCTTCTGGGGGGCTCCCAGGGAGTGCCACCCAGAAGAGGGGGAGGACAGAGGGTGGTCACCTGGCTATGGACTGCTTCACTCACTGCTCCCTGAGCAGGGCATACACAGGCTGGGGTCTGCAGTGCCCTGTGGGGATGGCACAGGTTGGGGCTCCGAGCTTTGCTGCCTGTGTTTCTTTGGAAGTCCAAGAGCGTGGTAAGGGAGGGGCCCAGGTGCAACCAGCCCCAGGGTGGGAGGTAGGAGAGAACCAAGATGTGGAGCGTGGGGAACAGACGATCCTTGGTCCCCTCACACCCGTGTTGCTGTGCTGTGTGCCAACCCATGGCGTGGCAGCCAGCCAGGCCAGAGTGATTACAGGTGGCTGCCAGGAGGGGATGGTGGTGATGGAGACCATCTGCTGTATTTCCAGCCCTGCCTGTTAGGGAGGCCATGCTCACGGCTGTGCTTTCCCTGGCTGAGATTTGCCATTCAAGCTGCTTGAGGGACTGCTCTGAGCGTTACAGCACCTCTCTGGAGCAGCACTATGGGGCCGAGTCCTTTCCTGGCACCAGAACAGTGTGACACACTGCAATGGGGTTTTCCTGGGAAACAAGGAGCCCTTGTGACAGGCACTGGAACAGCCACATCCACGGCATTGTGGGATGGGGTTGGGCAGCTGCAGGGAGCAGCAGGCCCCTTGCTTTGGGGTGGATGGTACCATCCCCTCACTTCATCACCTCTCTGGAATGCTTTTCCAGAATCTGAGGTGAAACATCAGCATGCTGCCATAGTGCAGCAACCAGATTCCTCAGCAGGGAATGGCTTTGCTCAACGCAAAAGCAGGGGGGTAGGATTCCCATTATAAAGGGCAAACCCATATCCCCCTTGGTGGGATCCCTGCATGGGAGCAGAGCCAGGGGACGGTACCACCGCAACTCCCCAGCCCCAGCAGCAGCTGATATGGCCGCTCAGCATCCCGGGCTCATTAGCAGTGCTGTGCTAACACAAGGGGACAGCGGGTGCAGGCAGTGAGGCAGGGCCAGCAGCAGCTGTCAGTCCCCATCCCTCGCCAAGCAGTGGCTGCAGGGCTGATGGCACGGGGCTGCACAAGGTCGGTTTCAGGTGGCGAGCCTGAGCGCTTTGGGCAGGGCTGACTTTGTGCTGGAAATAAGCTGCTTGTGTCTGTGCTGGAAGAGTAGAAGGATGGGCGAGAGCTGCATTCTCTCATGGCGACCGTGCAGAGGTGGTTGTGTCCCTCTGCTTGGCCCCATGTCCCTCTGTGGTTCCCCCCAGTCCCTAGTGTCAGGGTCAGCTGCTCCCGAGCAAGCAACTCTCCCACCCCTCTGAATGCTGCTGGTTTCTGAATGTGCTGTGTGCCACTGCTGCTGCCCCCTCCCCACCTCACAGATGTTACCTCCTGGGGACAAGTGATCAGAGGTTCCCCCATCCCCAGCCCAGCCCTCAACACAGCATGTCACACCAGCCCCACACAGATCATGGGGGTCCTGCAGCCCCCAGCCCAACCGCCCTGTTGTGAGGACAAGGAGACACGCAGCCCAGCATGAGCTTAAAAAAATAGGCATTTTTAATTCAAATGTAACTGGAGAGTGATGGCCCGAGAGAGGAGAGCATTACTCACATTTATCGACAGGCTCATTAGATTACTGCCTCAATAGCTGTGCTCGAGCAGCGCACGTCCATCTCAAGGAGAAGCAGTGAGCACGGGCAATGCGGGAGACCTCAGCGTCCTTGGTGGCACGGGGAGCTGCAAGCAGCGCTGCGTCAGTCACCTCCTGGTGCCCGACATCACTATGTACAGCTTCGGGGTTATTCAGAGGCAAAAACATGCGATGTTTGCTTGGCTGGGTGCTGAGCCTCCTCTTTGCCACGAGGTCCCCCAGTGGATGTGTGGGGCCACAGGACAGTGCTCCCTCCACTCCAAGTGGCTGGGGACAGTGGCATGGCCATCCCTGAGAGCCCCTGAGGACAGCACTGGGGGGATTGGGTTGGGAGCACTGGGCTGGATCTTGCACACCCATGGCCACAGCCACTGCTGCCTGGACAAAACAGGGATTGCAGGCGTGCTGAATCCATCGTGTTGCCCTTGTGTCAGCGGCTGAAGCGGTGCAAGCGGTGCTTGAACCTGCCCCCTCTCCCCCCTCCCATCCCCCCCGTAGTCAGGCTGAACGCTGGGGCTCAGCGATGCTCTGAGCAGAACAGCTCAGCCCCACTACGACACGATGGGGGTGTCTGAAAAGACGGAGCTGATGGACTCGGTGTCTGAGCGCAGCTGCAGCACCTTGGGGTGCCTGCCATCGGGGAGGCCCTCACCGGGCACCGGGCGCTCCTTGCCATCCAGCACCTCGCGGGCAGGCTCCAGGAAGGCCACGTGCTTGCTGGCCCTGCGGCTGGGCCCATCAGTGGTGGGCGGCGTGGCACTGAGGATGGAGGACTGTGCGCTGCACTCCTGCGGGGGGCTTGGAGGGGCCGTCCTGCAGCACGGCGGGCAGCGGCACGGCGTCACAAACAGGTAGACGAGCACCAGCAGCAGGCTGACGATGCAGCCCAGCAGCGTGGTCAGGCCGGTGCTGAACGCCTCCCCATCTGGCTTGGAGTAATGCACCGTCACGTTGACCTCGCACAGCCGACTGACGTTGCGGGGGCCGTTGATGGCCAAGCAGACGTAGATCCCGGAGTGCCAGGGCCGGGCGGATGCAATACGCAAGCTGCCGTTGTGGAACACCTCGACGGAGCGGTTGGCGTTGCCTGGGGGCCAAATGGGCTCGTGGTGTGGGGAGATCCACATGTAGGCGACGTGGGGCAGGCTGGCGTTGCAGCCCAGCAGCAGCACCCGGCCCACCGTCACCGGGAAGGGCACGGGCTGCGCGGGGTCTGGCTCGGCCGAGCAGTTCTCAAACAGGTGACTGTACTTGAGGAGCTTGATCAGGGAGCGCGGCACGGCATCGGATACCTTGCAGGTGTGCTCCTCGAAGAAATCCCTCACCGAGCTGAAACCCCGCTGCCTCCAGCGCTGCAGCATCAGGTAGAGCGGGCAGCTGCAGCGCACGGGGTTGTTGTGCAGGTAGAGGCCGTTGCGGACGTGCTCAGGCAGCGCCGCCAGCTCCTCCACAGGCAGGCTGCTCAGGCTGTTGGAGGACAGGTCCAGCGTGCGCAGGCTGAAGTTGCCCAGGCCCTGCACCGCATGGAAGGGAAAGGAGGTGAGGTTGTTCCAGCTCAGGTACACCTTCCTCAGCCCGCTCAGCTTGGCGAAGGCGTTCTCGTCCACCCGCGCGATGCGGTTGTTGTAGAGCAGGAGCTCCTCCAGGCTCACCAGCTCCTCGAAGTAGTGCGTCTCGACGGCGCGCAGGCGGTTGGAGGACATGTCGAGGTGCCGCAGACGGGACGCGTTGTGGAAGGCACGCGGGGACAGCTCGCCGATCTGGTTGTGGCCGACGTGCAGAGCCTCGAGGTGCGGCAGCGCGGCCAGCCAGCCGTCCTGCAGCTGGCTCAGCGCGTTGTGACTCAGGTCCAGCGTGGTGGCGGTGGGGGGCAGCGCACGGGGCACGCGCTGCAGGGTCTGCCGGCTGCAGCTCAGCAGGTCGGAGGTGCAGATACAGGCGGGGGGGCAGCTGCGGGGCGGCGAGGTGCGCGCGGGACACAGCTGGAGCAGCAGCAGCAGCCACAGCTCCGCGGGCGCCCACGGGGCCATGGCGTTTTTCGGCAGCCCGAGGCGGTGGGGCTCAGCGGGGCCGCGCTGCCCTTACCGGGTGCCGGCAGAGCCCGACCGCAGCCACGGGGCTGGAGCGGAGCTTAGGAGCGGCATGGCCCCTCGCGCAGCGCTACGCGTTGCGGGGGGACCGCATCCAGCACGGGGTGCCGCGATGCTCCGGTGCTCACCCAACGCCTCCCAGCGCCGCTCGTCCCCGGAGCGCCAAGTTTCTCAGGGTTCGGCACCGCGCATCCCCGTGCCCGGCCGCTTCCCGGGTAGCATCTCCCGGCGGCCGCCCGCTCGCCCCTACTTACGTGCTGGCGATGCGCAGCGTGGGGGCTGGGCGGGAGCCCATTGGTCCCGGAGCGGGGAGTGGTGGCCGCGGTGGCCGGGCGGCTCGGCGCGTCCCTCCCTCGCGTGTTGCGGTGGGCAGGGCGGTGCGGGTGCTCATCCCAGGGGATCGCTTCAGAGACCCTCGGCCGTGCGCAGCCTCTGCTCCTCCTTCGACAGCGGCAGCCGCTGCGCCGCGCTGACCTCCCACACGCCGCCTTTGTCCCGGTCAGCCCTTGGTGAGCTGGCGGGGACCCCCTGGCACGGCCATCCATGAGGGGAGGCTGAGCCCAGGGATCCCTGCGGAGGAAAGGGTGCTATTAGTAGGGGCAGCCATGCGGTGAAGGACGCTCAGGAATGTCATTGCCAGCTCCTGGGCTCTTCAGTGGGAAGCGGAGAGCGGGGCTGGGGAATTGGTTTCCATTAGGGCAGCAAAAAAGCTCATTTGGCCGCTGTGGCTGCTGGGCACTGAGGGGCTGTTAACCCCCTGCTCCCCAGAGCGGTTCAGCTGGTGATGAGGATGGAGACTGCTGTGCCCAGCTGTGCCCTTGCTGGAGGTGGCCACGGGGCTGTGGATGGGGCACAGGGCATGTGCCTGATGGAGGCGGTGCCTGAGCAGCGCTGGGGGCTCTGGATGCCACACTGTTTCCCTCCTCTGTCCAGGCCATTCCTGCTGATGCATGAAGCCTGAAGAGACACAACCGCTCTCTCCCTCCTCCCCACCAGGGTGCTGACATGCCATGGGAACACCGTGTGGTGTCCCCGAGGTGCAGATGTGTTCCAGTCCTGGGCTGCTGTGGTGCTGTGTCCTGCAATGCTGGTACCAGCTGCTTCAGCCACCCTGCATCTCCTAGGGCGCAAGCCAGCACCTGAACTGAAGTGCAACCTCGGCAAATGCCAATGCAGCACATCGACCTGGGGTCCTGCAGCAGATCCCCAGTGGGATGGTAGGAGGAGGGGGAGGAGAAGGAATGCCCTTTGGCTGCCTTAATGTGTGCTGGGGGATCCTGAGGACTGGGGGCTACCACCATGCTGCATTCACCTTGGGCGCAGCTCCCGCAGAACAGGCCAGCTGCGTGGTGCTGGGTCAGAGCCAGGACCATGTCTGGGGACGTGGGGAAACAGGCAGTGCCTGTCTGTGTCTGTCCCTTTGCAGGGCTGAGCGCGCGACAGCGGTGCTGCTGGCGGACCCCTGCTTCCAGCTGCGCTCCATCCAGTACCTCCTGGGCCACGCCGAACCTGCAGCCATGGCAGCGGCTGCTACGGCCACAGAGAAACGCCACTTCTCCCTGAGCACATGTGAGTGATGCACCAGGCTGGGGGGCACGTGGGGGCAGCAGTGGGCACGAAGCAGCCCGGCAGCAGGTACCACTCAGCACACCGTCCGGTTCTGCCCCCAGACACGGAGTACATCAGTGCCGAGGAGCTGTCCAAGGTGGACAAGATGCTGAGCCATCTGAGCGAGGAGTCCAAGCAGGCGGCTGCCACCACGCTGGTGAGTGTCCTCCATTCCCATCCCCACGTACAGCTCTGCCGCTCCAAATTTGACTGCAGCCCTGGCACCGCTGCCCCCCAGCTCCAAGTACCTCTGCCAAGCACCCACCTGTCCCCCACAGCCCACCAGCGAGGAGGACCTGTGCCCCATCTGCTACGCACACCCAATCTCTGCCATCTTCCGGCCCTGCTCCCACAAGTCCTGCAAGTGAGTATGAGCAGCTCCTGCTGCCCCAGCTCCCCGCAGCATTTGGGGTTCGGGAGTGCTTACGCTCTTCTTCCCTCCCCGTCCCAGAGCCTGCATCAACCAGCACCTGATGAACAACAAGGACTGCTTCTTCTGCAAGGCCACCATCACAGGGGTGGATGATTTCACCAAGCCGGCCAGCTCCTAACACCTGGCCCTGCACGTGGGTCTGTCCCTAACACAGGACGGGGGCTGCAGGGAGGGAGGGGCCATTCTCAGGGAGGGGAGCACGAGGCCTCATTCCCACAGCAGCCCCGCGTGCAATGAGTGCTGTCTGGGGCTGGGCTGTGTGTTTGGGCTCTGTGACTTCGCCCCTGGCTGGGGGCTGACTTCATGAAATGCAGCATTAAATTATTCTTCCTTACACAGTACCAGGGTGATGTGAGGAGGGAAAGCTGAGCCGGCTCTGGGGGCTCGGCTGTGCACAGATAATGCTCAGAGGTAGATGGAAATATAAATATTTAATCTAAACAGAGCCAGGAGAGAGCACAGCGGGCGCTACATGATGATGCGTGGCTCTGGCACGGACTCGGCGATGGATTTGTGTGGCAGCACGTTGGCCCCATTGAGGTAGAGCTCGTCATTGACAATGACATCCTCACCGAGCACCGTCACATTCTCCATACGCACCTGTCCCAAGAGCTGTGTCACACCCAGCCTGGTTCAGGGCATGGGGCCGTGCTCCTGCTGCTGCCCAACTGGTACCAGTGCTTCCCTCCTCCCCTTGGCCACAGCCAGGAGGCAGAGAGCAGGATCTGGCCCAATCCCTCCAGAGCCCCGCAGCACAAGCCTCCTCACCCACTGCCCCACAGAGCAGCTCCAGCCCACAATGCAGGACTCCAGCCAGGAGTGGGAGCGGATGCGGGCCCCCTGCAGCACCGTGCAGCGCTTGATGCGCACCCCATCCTCCACCACCACGCCAGCCCCAATCGTCACGTTGGGGCCGATGACACAGTTTGCCCCAATCTTGGCACTAGGATCCTGCAAGGAAGGGGGATTAATCAAAGAATCACCAAGGTTGGAAAAGACCAATAAGATCATCCAGTCCAACCGTTCACTGACAGCTCTCACTAAACCATATCCCTCAAAACAACATCCAAAACTGCAGTGAGGCTGGGGGCACAGCTCAGCCAGCATGGGGGTGGCAGGGCGCAGCTTGAGGAGAGCAGCAGGACGATGGAGGTGAGCCCGTTCAGTGTGCCTGGGGCTGGCACTTACCACCAGCACATTCCCCACGACACCGGGCCCTGAGTGCAACTTCTCAGGGTGCTGCGCCCGCAGTGCCTGCAGGTACATGCACATGCCAGTGAGAAAGTCTTTGGGCTGCCCGATGTCCATCCAGAAGCCTGTGGGGACAGAGCCTCAGTGACAGCAGTTCAGGTGGGGTCCCAAGCACGGCCAGGACCCTGCTTGAGGCCTTACCCTGCAGCTCCATGGCATAGAGCTGCCCATCCTGCGCCATGGCTGGGAAGATCTCCTTCTCGATGGATGTGGGACGCAGCTGCAGGGATGGAGATGGGTCGTGGGCTGAGCATGGGGACACAGCCTCCAGACCCAGCCCCTGGTCCCCGGCCCAGCCCTACCTGGATGCGTTGCAGGATGCCGGGGCTGAAGATGTAGAGGCCAGCATTGATCTTGTTGGACACGAAGACGCGTGGCTTCTCCACGAAGCGGCAGATGCGGCCGCTGTCGGGCTCGCTCACCACCACGCCGTACTTGGCCGGCTCCTCCACGCGAGTGACCACGATGGAGCCCTCGCCGCCGTGCCGACAGTGGAATTGGGCCAGCGCCGCGAAGGGGAACTCGCAGATCACGTCGCTGTTGAGGACAAAAAAGGGCTCCCCGCCCTCGGCCAGCAGGTCCCGCGCCAACGCCAGCGGTCCCGCTGCGCAGCTGTCAGTGCCACCGCGGGGCCGGGGACAGCCCAGCCTCGAGCTGGATGCTGCCTGTGCCCATGTCAGTGTCCCAGGTGCCACCAGCACTCCCAGCCGCTGGCCGTCACTCAGCCGCTGCCAATGCTACCTTCGCTCATCCCGTCGTCCCTCGTGCCCATCGGCCTTCCCAGCCGCCGTCCGCACCGCCCGTCCCCACCCTCGTGCCCATCAGCGCTCCCATCCACCGACCGTCGGCAGCCCTCCGTCCCCACCACCTGCGCCCATCCCAGCATCCCCGGCGACGGCAGCGCTCTCGGCCACCGGGGTCCACCCGTACCCCTCCCAGCGCCCCGCCCGCTGCCCGCCCCTACCTGTGCCCAGCGGCTCCTTCTCGTGGGACAGGGAGATGCGGATGCCGAGCTGCGGGCAGAGGGTCAGAGCGGGGCGGGACGGGGCGGGGCGGGGCGGGGGTGCGGGGGGTCTCTTACCCGCTGCTCCTGCTCGCGCATAGCGGCCTCCAGCGCCTCGGACATGTAGCTCACGGCCAGCACCACGTGGCTGACGCCCGCCTGAGGGACCTGCGGTCAGGGGGCGGCGGGGCGGCGGGGCCCGGCTTCCTTCCCCCCGGAGCGGCCCGTACCTGGCGCAGCGCCTCCAGCTGGTGCAGCAGCAGCGCCTTGTTGCAGAACTCCACCAGCGGCTTCGGCCGGCTCAGGGTCAGCGGCCGCAGCCGCGTCCCGAAGCCGCCCACCAGGATCAGCGCCCGCATCCCCGCGCCCGCGCCGACACGTCAGCGCCGCGCGCGCCTCACGCGTCACCGCCGGGCCCGCCCCGAGGGGCGGAGCTACCCGCGCCTCATCCAATGGGAGGCGGAACCACCCGTGCCCCACCCAGCGGGAGGCGGGGCCACCCGTGCTCCCACCCAATGGGAGGCGGAGCCACCGCTGCCCCCACCCAATGGGAGGCGGATCCGCCCCGCGCACTCCCGCCCCGCGGACACACGCAGACGCAGGGCGAAAACCAGCTCCTTTAATGCGCGGCGCTGGGCGAGCACGGACAGCGGGCAGCGGACGGACGCGGCTATGTACAGACGGCGGCCCTCCGCACCGGGGGCGAAGGAAGGCGGCTCCGGACAGCCCGGCCGGGCGCAGGGCTGCTCCCGCTGCCCCGGGCTCCTCACTGCAGCCCATCCCGAACCCCGCGGCTCGGCCGGGCAGCGCGGCCGCCCGCAGAAGCGATGGAGGAAGCGAGCGGAGGGGAGAGCGGAGCCGAGGCGGGGCAGAAGTGCCGCGGGATGAGGCGGGGAGAGCAGGAAAAGAGCGGCCGGAACGCAGCGAAGACACGCGGGGCGAAGGGGCCGGGACAGCGGCGAACGGAGCGTCCGCAGCACGGGAGCCGGGGGGGGCGGGCACAGCCCAGCGCTAATCCGTGCCAGCCGGGCCCCCCCCAGCGCGGAGCCCGGAGCACGGATAGGACGTAGCGCTGTGCCTGCAGGAGCCGGCAGGCCGAGCCCGTGGAACAGAGAGATCCTTGCATACAAGCGGCGGAAAAACGATTACAAGGGGAAGGGTTGAACGCCCCGTGCAGGGCCGGGGTCACGTTAACTGCTACAAGTACTATTGCTAGCCCACGAGCTGAGCTGTGGCTTGGTCGGGGGCCCAGGGCAGAGTCACGGTGGCAGAGCCCTGCCCGCGTTGTCCCGGGGCCCGCCCAGGGCAGCAGGGGCGAAGGCAGCACCGGGAGTGCAGCGTTTCCTCCCCCCGCAGCTCTGCCCTGGGTTGCATTTGGTCATTTTATTTCCCCGTTTGGGTCGGTTATTCACAGTGCCCAAACAGAAGGAAAAGGCAGCATCAAAAGCAAAGGCCCAACGGCAAAACAGAGGGCAGAGCTAGCAACGCCAGCCAGGGAGCATGCAGAGCACCCGCCCCATAGAACCAGGGTGCTGCTCCAGTGCCCTGGGAGAACTTCAAGCCAAAGGCCTTTAAAAGGCTGCCGAGGCAGGAGGCTCCCCAAGCCACAGCTGCAGCCCTGCAGAGCCCTGCGTTCTCCTGCTTTCCCTTCCCTAGGGCCAGGTTCCCCCTCCAAAATACACATGGGAGGAGCGAAGTACCAAGAGCCCCAGAGGCAGCCGTGAAGCCCCCTCCAAGAGGCAGAGCTGTTGCGTTCAGTTTGAGGAGCTCTTCCACTCTGCCTCCCTTCAGCTCTTCTCTCCAAGTACATTTAAAAACAGTGGAGCAGTACAATTGTTCTAAAACTGAAGTGGCTGCTGTTTCCCGTGGTAGGAGGTGGTCGTGTCTGCTCCAGTCACCAGGACAAGAATAAGTGGCCACGGTCCAGAGCTACTGGTTTCCCTCACGCAGCTGTTCCATGATGTTGATGAGGCTCTCCAGCCCAAACACGTAACCTCTATCAGGTCCGTCGTGCACAGTGGGGTCATCACGGAAGCCTTTGAATGTGCTGTGTGCAAAGTCAATCATACGCACATCCACCATGGGGTGTGGGGGGGAGCTGGGCTCCATACCGCCGCCGTCCTGAAGGCTCTCCGGAACAGAGCTGTCCGTCTGCTTCAGGCGCGTCTCCGAGTGGCACTCCACAAACATCTCTGCCCTGCTGTCCTTGCCATCGTAAATGATGAGAAGGGAGCTGGAGTAGAAGCGGTAGGAGGCCTGTCTCTCCAAAACTGCCTTCAAACTTCGGAGTTTGGCAAGGACAGGCTCAAAGAGGTCCTTGCGCAGCTCTATGCCGTTGTGGAGATACTGGTAGAGGGCATTGCGGAAGCCCTCGATGGAAAGACCACGTCCATAGTATTTATTCCTGCATAAGTAATGCCCTGTGTTCAGCTGGTAGACCTGGAAAACCAAAGGAAACGCACATGGAGTGGGAACATGAGGTTAAGGCAACACAGGGAGAGCCCAGAGCTGCCTCGTACTGACAGGGCAGAGGGAACTCACATCACCACCACACCTGGGAGACAGAAGGAACAGCCCTGCCTGCCCCCTGCATCCCCAAACAGCCTGTTATGCGATTTGTGAAGGGCCCTCCTTGCTTCAGGCTGTGGGCAGAGAGATGGACTACAAGATGATTCTACAGGCGGGGAAAGGACTGGCTCTATTGCACAACAGCATCAGCAGCAAATCCTTGTGCTCAGGGTATAACCACAATAGGAAAACAGATTTTTACTCTCAACACATGGATGGTGATAGGGCAGAAAGATATCTCCACCAGGTGCTGCAGTTCTAGCTTAACACTAAGAAGAGCAGTTGTTTTAAAAAGTCCCCATGTTTTCTGCAAACAAGCAGACCCACCTTGGGAGAAGCAAGTTCCTTTGCTCTGGGCTTTCAAATGAAGACCAAAAGTATGTATCATGAACTCCAGCATACCCACCCGCTAACTCAGAGCTCAGCAGCAAACATTAACAACTAGAAGCTCTAGTGGGACCGGGAAAAGGAACGTGCAACATCTGCAGCCTTGGGGATTCCTACCTGCATCCCACACACTCGCACACCCAAGGTGGCAGAAGTGCTCTGTTCACACTTCTTCATCTGCCGAGCAGCCTTCTCCTCAGAGGCATCATCTCCGTGCTGTCTGGTCCCCATCTTCAGATCAAGCACGCAGGGAAACTTGAAATGATGCACCACGTTCTCCAGCAAAAGGAACTCTGAGAGACACGTCAAGGAGAGTTCCCCAGTCACAGACACTGCCCCCAGAACTGCCACGAGGAGGGACACAGGCCAGCATGAGACAGGCAAACAAACAGGAACCAAGGAGGAAGTAGAACAAACCGGGAAGCTGAAGAAAAGGACAAAACCCAAAGAGTGGCACGTGGGCTTTGGCAGCTGGTAGAAGAAGTCAGCCTGCAAAGTGTCAGGCCCAGCCCTAACAGGAGATCACAAGCAGGCTTACTGGAAAGCCCAGCAGGAGGAACCAAGGAGCAGAATGCAAACATCAGGAAAGATACAGTGTGCCAGTAAGGACTGGTGATACTTTAGGGGGAGCTTGAAGGCTAACCAAAATCACAGTTGAACCACATGGATAAAGAACACGATCCCCGTGGATTGAGAATTCAAGGCTGAAATAATAGCTACAGTTCTGTTATCAGCCTGACCAGAAGTGCAGCACTGACCAATACAGGGGGGAAACTGGAGAGGCCACAAAGGCAGGAAACAGACTTGTAATGGGAAACTTCAATTACCACCACACACAATGGGCACACCTTCCATTAGGGCACAACGCTGAGAGCAAACTCGAGACAATCAGTACAGCAAAGGAGTCCCAGAGGGGAGAAATAACCCCAGCGTTTGCCCTGTGGGTCACAGTTCAATGCATTACTCTGAAATGGCAACCAGAGCAGAGCTACATTAAACCTGCAAGGGAGTTCAGCATGTAGAAAAAAAATCTACCAGCAACTATGTTTGATTTGAAAGAGGAACTCCAGAAAAATAAGGAAGTGTGTTAAAAAAAGATAGGACAGCTATAGAATCACTTCTCCACAAGTGATGTGGAGTTATTTAAAAATATACATTGGAGGCTCAAAGCACACATTTGAGAATAGGAAAAGGAAGCCCACAGTTAAAACATGGAAGAATAAAGCTATTAAAAACAAGGTTGTTCCTAGGCAAGCAAAACAAAAATTGAGTTCTAGCAGGTGAAGCAAAAAACACAAGTTGTCAAGTTAAAAAAAAAAGAAAACAAAACAGCAAAACTGTGTGAGGAATGAATTGCAAAGGCAAAGAAAACAAGAAATCCTTCTTAGGCCATACGAAGAAGCCATTCAGACTGCTTGAAGGGCTTAGAGTACAAGTATAAAAGGAGCTATTGGGAGATGGGAGTAAAAAGAGACTCTAACAAGAAAGAAACACTAATAATTTATTGTGTTTTCTGGGGATTCCAAAACTTTTTCTAAATACAGATTAGCTCAGGCTGCAGTGCCAGAAGAAGAGCTGTACATCCAACAAGAACTAATGAATAACAAATAATCAGAGCTGGGCAGTCTCACCCAGAAGCACTAAAGGGCACAGGACAGATCTACTTCTACTATTAAACAGCAACTGAAGCTCATTTAAAGCTGCCTCCCTAAAGGGAGGACATGGCAATGCTGATTTGCAGAGACCTGGGGAACCACAAACTGTCACAAGCGTATCACACAGCTCAGCAGGAGGCAGTCCTGAAGAACAGAAGCTGGTAAATGACTTCTCAGGGAAGGATCAAACACACCTTCCGTGGAAGTCACACCTCAGAAATACCCTGGGGTTCTTCAGCAGCTTTGGCAAATGCAGACATGAAGTGTCAGGACAAAATGAAATCTGCGTGAGGATTAGGAGATCTGTGACAGTGCCTCAAAGAGGCCAGACAACAGACTGAGGACTAAGAAGCTGACAGTCGATTAATTAGCCAGCAAATGAAAGAAGAAAAGAGTTGGGATGTCTGATTGGTCACACAGAATCATTCACAAGGCCTGTGTGTGGAGAACCATGCTGGTCAACAAGTGATCCAGAAAATGGAATGAGATGACAAACATACCAAGTTCCAAAAATGAGGAGCAACCATCCAAAATCCCAAAAGGACCTTATGAGACCCACCTGGTCATTAAATGGGTAGACACCCTCTGGAGTTAACGTGCAAGATGACGAACATAAGGAGAAGAAATTTTGTTATTTTTAACCCTAATGTATAAAGCAGGGGGTTTTGAGACAGCTATGACAGTCAGAATGGTAGGTTAGAACAAACAAACAGCATTTACAACAAGAGTGTGTGCCACAGATTATGAGGAAGTGGAGACAACAGCACTATGTGCCAGTGGAAATGAAACCTCTGATTCACCAGCATCTTCTGTACGGTCTGCAGTTCTGGTCACCATTTCCAGAAGGATACAGTAGAACTGGAAGAGACTCAAGAAAGGTGGCAAGGACGATCATAGCTCCTTCCCAAGGAATTACTGAGCAGCCTAAACCTGCATCTGCTGCTGGGCAAGGTCTCGTGTGAAGAACTCAATAGTTCAAAAAAAAAAAAAAAGAAAACAACACAAGCCAACTCAGAGAAAGTCCAGAAGAAAAAACCAAGTACAGGAAACTAGCCAGAAACGTGGCTTCTCTGAGTGTCAGTGTCAGAAATCAGTTGGGTTGTTTGAGAAGTAGGAAAGAGCAGGAGAAAGAAAATTTAATACAGCTTTGATTGTGCAATGGATGGGGAGAACATCATTCTTAACACAAGCCAAGTGAAACACAGGCCTAGCTGCTTCCAGCACGAGTGTGTAGTGTAGGCCAGCACAGCAGCAGCAACCTGATGCACTCGGTGCCTTCCCTAAGGATACTGTAGAGTTTTCTCTCCTTGGACTCCGACCGCATGCGGCTCAGCTGCTGCTTGTGGCAGCGCAGGCTCCAGGGGTTATGGCTGATCTTTTCAGAGCTCAGCCCACTGTTCCCATCCAACATCTGAAACGGAACATCTGAGTGGATGTGCAAGTCCATCCTGGAACTCTTTGCCTCCTGGATGCTGCTGGCATAAACACAAGACAAGGAAGCATGTTAAGATCCATGCATTCTCCAGATATTTACAACAGTCATGCCTGCACACGACCTCCTCCTGTTCCCCCTCCCGCCGCACACTTCACACTATTCAAAAGCTGACAGCTTAACAGCAAATCCTTGCTAACATCCCAGACAGCGGACCCATATTTATACCCTCAGGTTAAGGGCTGGATGGTCTTTGAATCTGTACTTGAATCTGCTCCCCTGGCTCTGTTTCCACATCCAGCTGTTATCCCAAGCATTTCGCTTGGATGAGTTTGTCTACAACTGGGCACAGCTCCTAACATGGCTTGCAGTGCCACAGTATGCTGGAATAGCAGCTGCAAGACAATCTAGCAGCTGTAAAGAAGTACAGAACACCTCAATAAAAGGAGGACCAGAGCTGAAAGTGGAAAGGAATATTTCCTGGTGTAGGGAACCTGCTTTGGCAGGGGGGTTGGACTCGATGATCTCGGGAGGTTCCTTCCAACCCCTACGATTCTGTGATTTCCCACTTGTCACACTGTCAGTGGACCCTCAAAAGCTTCTACCTTTCTGTGCTGTCACTGGCCAGGCCAGGTTTCTCCTCCTTGTGCTCAGTGCCACTGCTTGACCTGTGAAGGCTCCGACGCGAGTGCTTGCGCCGTGGCTGGTCCCTCTCTGGCATGTCATCTTGCTCCAAAGCTTCATTCTCCATGTAGGGATACGCCACCAGATTAATGTAGCCATCGCTGTCTCCCTCAAAACAGACAGACACCACACCTGCCAGAAAGAAGGAACATGTCAGTGCTGTTTGCCAGCAGAGGAAATATAATTACTAGAATACAGGTGTTCAATAACACAGAAGTAACCATAGCTCACGGAGCAGAAAACCAAATCCAGAGCAGCGGAATGAGGTTCAGGATGACGGGGGGAGAACTCAAACATTTTTAACACAGCACGGAGGAGAAATCTCTGCATACAGCAGTGTTGTGTTACTACAGGAGCGAACAGTTGGTAACAGCAGTAGAAGCTGTGGCATTCACAGGAAATCAAGCATGATACTCCTAGCCCAGAGTGCTAACATCCCAGTGTGCTGCGCTAAGGGAAACGCAGTTGCAAGACTGATGAGGGATGGATGTTCCCCTCCTTTCAGCCTTGCAGTGTAAAATAAAACAAGAAATGTCGAACTAGAGAAAGTAAAGCAGAGTCTACCAAGCTGCTGAAGGGGGAAAAGCATATGAAATACACATTTAGTTCATTTGGGTGGAGTATCTAATGTCAACAGCAGGAACACGTTTGCAGGACAAGAGCATCCCTGGTCTGCTTTCTCCACTCCAAGATCTCTCCAGCATCTGAGCACTGAGACTCAGGTGACACCTGCTGCTTCTATCTCAAATCAGCCTGTCTTGTAGAAAAGGGATCCATGAGGCCCCAGGGCTTCCTAGTGATAAAAAACAGGAGGCTGTGGAGCAAAAATACTTTGTGCCAGATGAAGGTGATCAGGTCCACATGTGTCCTGGCCACTGTCACCTTCCAAAGGCTCTTGAAAAACACCACACTCCCAGAGAAGATAAAGATCTTTCATGGCACCAATTCTGAGTGTACCTAGCTGGCCAGCCATGGAGCAGAAGAGCTGGCAATTTCAGTTAGGGCTGACATCTTCAGGGCACCTCCAGCCCTGAAAATGAGGCAATCAACATCTCTCAACTCACAGCAGTGAGATTTTTTTTTATCAGCTTGTCACCAGTATCAAACAGCTGCCGATAATACTGGGCACTACATGGACTGAATCTGAAGACTTGCCATAAAAGCGATGAAACATTTCACTGCTCAGTTGATAGAGAACATCACGCCACTGTTTTTCCCTATCTGCACATGACAATGCCAACAAGCGTTAAGAAAGCTCCACACAAGTTCTGAGAAGTTCAGGACTCCAGCATGACACTACATAAATGATCATCCAAGCCCTCTGTCTGCCTGGATGTGCTCCACAAGCCACACCTCTGAAGAGGCAATCTTAAGAGTTACATACGTGTGCTCAGAAAGGAAACATCATCTTCTCCAGAGCAGCAGGAGTGACCCCTGGGACCAGCTGGAAACTGCACTGGAGCCTCAGATGAAATCCCATACTGTAGTGGAGATGCACATCCCGTGCCTTTAGGCAACTAGGAAATACGATGATGATGCGAGGTCTCCATCTGGACCATCAGCTTCATCAGTTTTAAAGACATCTCCTGAGGAAAGCCTGACGTCACATCGATTCCAGTAACAACGCAGGCTTCAGATGGGATTTCAGATGGGTCACCAGAGCACCATATGGATCCAGAATGGCTTGAGGGTACAAGAGGACCCATCTGTTGGAGACGGTATCTTTCAGTCACACTCTGTATACAGACACAGGTAGGTAAGCTGACACTGCTTTCAGCCCTTCAGGATACAGCCAGATCAAATGGCACGACCTGGAACAGACGGTGGTCCCAGCTGTCCCTGAAGCACAGTCCTCCTTGTGCCACACGGGGAGGAAGCAGCAGCAGTTACCCTCCTGCAGGGGAACACATGGCCACAAGGGTACCTTCTGAAAGATACAGTAGGCAATCGATTTGCTACAAGGATACAGGCACTGGAAAATTCCACTCCTTGGGAGCAGCTGGGGACAAGGCTCACTTCACCTCAGCGCTCGGAAAGAAACACTTCCTGCTTCAGCAGTTTTCTGATATGGGTCCATAAAAGAGCTGGGATGAGGAAGCAGTAAATTATGGGACTGCATACACAACTGCTCAGTGCATGACCTAACTTCATTTGCTCAAGGTCAAGGCGGTAGGAACTGACAAGAACTTGCCAGTAAAATTACTTCTGTCATAACCTTAAGTGTCAGACTACAACCATGAGACTCTGTCTGGAAGGATGAACACATTAAGCACAAAAAAAAGAGACCTCCCCCTTTCCAAAAGCTCCAATCAAATCGCTACCCTGCAAAAGAGAAGAATAAAAATAAAAAGAGAAAAAAAAAAAAGAAAACCAGCAACACACAAGCAGCTCCAGGAAAAGGAGAAGGCAGGTTCACAAAACACCTCGTTGCAAGGTGACAGCGGGCCTCACCTTTGTACTCAGGTGTGAACTCCTTCATTTCTGGAGGCAGGGACTCATAGAAGCGCTGCTCCCTGGTGATGAGCGGCTTGCAGACGGTGTGGTCGTCATAGCGCATCATGCTGCTGTGGCCGCCCACCTGGTGAATAAAAGGCTCCAGCAGGACCCCCCGGTCTCCAGATTTAGTGGCATTCTTGCCATACTTGCCCACTTCCATGGTTTGACAAACACACATTGCGTTGGGCACCAGTTGAACTCTTGGAGCATGGGGAGAGCCACAAAGGCTGGGAGATGCAGCTCAGCAGCGCTCAAGCAGCCAGGTTTACTCCCTCTTTATCTGCTTCCTTGTGATGATCTGGAAAGGCAAACGAGATTCCTGTGAATGGAGAACCACTTGTACTCGTGCTCATCTCCTAGGAGAAGTTTCTGCATTTTTTGCTATTTTTCTATATCTGCATGTGTCCCTCTCATTCCCCATTTACTTCCCACTTGTTGCAGCACGCTCCTCACCACCTCTTCCATCGTGTAGGGAAACACGTGCTAATTTGGAGTCTGTCTCTTCCACAGATTCTCCAGTAGGGCTGACAGGAGACAGGGAAAGGAGGAGGTCTGAGTATTCTGAGGCTCCCATCTTTAGAAAATACCATTTCCTTCCTTCAGCTCATTTCATCAGAGAGGCACCGTGGTAACAGAGTACAAACGCTGAGCTCCAGCACAAGTGAAAGCAAAAAAAGTAAAAGCAAAAGTCCCACCTAGCAGGGACAGAACCAACACAGGCAGAACAAGTCCTTTAAGAATCAGAATCCCATTCCTTCTGCCTCTGCTTTTTCAACACCTAAGTAACTTCTGTTCACCTCCTGCCCTGACACCATTTCCTCCTTTTCTTTTTCACTTCTCTGCAAGCTGTGTCACGGAAGATTTTCAGAATACAATGCCATAGCCATTCTGCTGCTGCATCTAAGTGGCTTCCCCTTGGATCCTCTCCTTTAATACCCAACTCTTCTCCTTTAATAGCCCACTCACACAATAAGCTTGGGCTTTCTAAAGGTAGGCAAGAGGGACTGCTAAATCCAAATGAGATTTAAAGTGCTTTGGAGAAGGCAGATGCTCTTTAAATGTTTGCAGACTGCCTGGCACAGCCACAGGATGATGAAAAAGTAAAGCTGCCCGAGTCAGCTCCAGATGCTTTGCCCTTTCTAGCTCGGACTGTAGCTGCTCCTGGGGCTGCTGGAGAAACACCACAGCATCTCCTCACAGCAGAGACCTACCTGAAGTCTCTGACACAAAAACCCCACGGCAGCAACAATATCTGAAAGTATCATGTTGGAACAGCCACGTGCAGGGGCAATAATGAAAGCCTGAGGGATGTCAGAGGCTTGAACACAGCTCAGGCTATCCCTCCTCTGACCACGGGATGTCTCTGCATCTACACACCAACACTGCACTGGGCCACGTTCCAGGGGGAAAGCAGCTCCTCCGGCTCTTCCCTCGCTCTCCAGTTCAGCAGCACAGAAGCAGCAGCTCCAGAGATTAAGAAACTGGGGGTGATACGTTACAATGTGTTACAACCTAACCCAAAAGGTCCCAGCAACAGAAGGATGCTTCTCTCTCCTGTCCGCACATTCCCTCGCACTGGATTTTGGACAGTACATTGCGGTTGAATCATCTCACTGATTCAGTGGAAAACATTTCCTTTTGTGGCGGCCACGCTGTCCTCACACAACTACATCCAGTGCAAAGGGATGCAAACAGTCAGCTTGCTGGTGTAGAAAAGGGAAAAACATCATATTTGGATCAAAGGATAAGGTTTGAGTCTCTGAACTCGCGCAGAGTCTGAGACACATCACAAAGACCAAAACAGGCTGAAGATTTCTCTCCTCCCTCTTATTTGCTTTAGCAAAAAGGCAGAGTTCTAGCAGCAGAGGCTTGCCTCCATACTTCTTAGCTTGGTTTGATAGTAGCTAGTATCCAAGAAGCAGCGGGGTGCCAGCACCTGCAACACACAAGCACTGCACAGCTGAACACTTCAGACTTAGCTCTCCTCGTGCCTATGCAGCTTTCCCTTAGATTTGGTTTCCTTTATTTTTACAATGATCAAAGCAGAGTTTTCCATTATTCCAAACACAGGGGACAACTTCACACCTTCCTGTGAGTTTAAACTTCGTGGGACGTATGAGCTAAGAGAGTCCTCCATATCCAGAGACACACATACAACTGCCAGTTCTGTACCAGTCCCAGTGCCCAAGTTGATTGCAGTGTGTCTCAGGGTCTCCATTCCACCAGCAACAGAATGAAACACTAATGTCCCTGTGTGAGAGAATGGAAACTATCTAGGTATGCTCATTAGCTTCAGACACCTTCATTAACTTGAGACAGATACCACAGATACACAGGCAGACACGCACACCAGCAGGCTGCTTTCAGACTCACCTCTGGGCAGATTTTAGCCATCAGAACAAGAGAGGGGATGCCTGGCCTACTTTAAGAAGTCTGTTGAAAGATAAGCAACACCTAAGAACGTGGCATCTGAGTCAGAGGACAGCAGCATACCTTAGCACAGGGTCACGTGCAAGTAAATGTGAGAAAAATCCTTTGTCCCCAATAGCATTTAGCAGAAGAGGAAGCTAACTACAGGGCTTGAAAAACCAACATGTTACATCTGGGAGTGGGAACCGAGCGACATTCAGACCAACTCAAAGCAAAGAATTATTACTAAACATGGACACTATCCACAAATAGAGACAGAAGAATCCCAGCAGTTTCAAACAACTATAAAGCAAAAAAAAAAAACCAACCCTATTTGAAGGCCTAAATATTACTCATTCTTCCTCTGTTAAACAAAGGCATTGGTTCAACTATTTTAGCTGGCTTGTGAAATTCAGAGTCCTTCCAGTTGGACTGAAAAATAGCCTATAATCCCCACAACAGCTTCAGGGAGACGAGGTCACCCAAGCACATCCTTTGGCAGTGCCCAACACTGCAACCAGAGATCAGACAGCAGAACACAGAGGGCAGCTTCGCATCCCCCTTCCAAAGACAGCCAGCAAGACAGATCGACCACCAAGTCACACTTGTGAAGGGTGAGCAGAGTTACTGGTGAGTGCACGAGGACAAGGCACATCTGATGTTCCATCATCCCAGCCATTAAATATATCCTGTAGTGGAAGAGGACTGGCTCCACAACAGTTAAATCTAAACGCAAGCTCTGAATTCAAGCTAGGTACCTCACCTTTCCAACACTTGGTCCTTAGTAGCACAGACACCAAGAACAACAAGCTGTGTTTTCCTATAGTGGCACAAAATCTTTCCAAAGAAAAAGACACACGAGGTAACCCTGAGCTCCACAGTCATGGAGTGGAGTGAAGCCCACTGCCCTTACTGATGGTGCCCTTCAGAAAGGTATGTCCCATCCCACAGTAACAAACTGGTTATGTGCTCCTAGATCCAACCAGAGGATGTCAGGGACCCCCAGCTGAAGCTAATGTCTTACCAGACCTCCCCCACAGCCAAGGAGATGCCAGCACTGAGGGGATCTGGGATGGGAGAGCATCAGATGTACTCACACACAAACACATGCATACAGAAGAACAGAGGGCAGGAAGGACAACTGTTCAATCACAATTTTAAGTAATTTCAAGCTCTGGGGTGAGACATCAGGTTCTCAGAAATACACTAAAGAAGTTCCATAGCTAAGGCACAGCACTGCACGAACACCCTCACCTCTTCAGTGCAGGGTTAAAAATCCCCCTGTTTGTAGCTCTGTGCTCACTAGAAGACAGCGTGCACTTCCCAGAGCAGCACCTGCATCCTCCTGTACACCCAGCCTCGCACCAGCACAAGAAACTCATGCAGCTGCATGACAAACTGCATCAAGACAAACTCCTCTGCTGCACTGGTTCAACTCAGATCAGGCTCCCAGTGCCATTCACTCTGCAAGCAATCTGTGCAGATGCAGAGATGGAGGCAGCAGGACAACAGAGATGCCCTCTCCTGCAAGGTCAGCTGCTCAAACACAACAACCCAAGGCTGCCAGCGCAGGAAGTGGGAACAGCAGGGATGCTTCTGTGATGGTTAAGTTAAGGTGACAGAGAAACGAGCCCCATGTCACCGTGCACTCGAGAGGTGGTGGCACAGAGCTTCACTGCAACGAACGCGAGGACTGCTGAGGTCACACCACGATGCTCACAATTTCAATCCTTCCAAGCTGTCCCGGATGGGAATACTGGCAACGCTTTATGACTCACTAGGAAAGCTGAACTCTACCAAAATAAAATGAAGAACAAACATTTCAAATTGTGATGCACACAGCAAGAAGGCTGACTGCCTTAAGCTGCGCTGACTCATGCCTTCACTGCGAGCAGCATGCGTGGCTGCCTTCCCACAAGGCCCCACTGTGGCTCCCAGCACTGCAGCCTGCCTGCAGGATCTGCACAGCCAAAGAACAAGGCAGATGGCCACACAGGATCCTGGGATGGAGCCACAGGCGAGGATAAACACTGACCTCAAGGTCGTGATGACAGAAGTTGGACTTTTCCTTGACATCCCCAGCGCAAGCAGGAGCAAAGCACAAAACTAAAACAACATTAACACGGCAGGAATGAGGATAAGAGCATCTGGCCAGAGGGTGCCTGGTGGCTGCGAGCTAAAGGTAGCCTGGCTAGCAAAGAGCAGATGCAGTTAGCATCCATGTCTTTTCTCGTGATGCCAGAATGAGTGACTCAACCTCAATAAACAAAAACTGAGCCTAAAAATGGAACAACATCCCCACGTGCTTTGATTTGAGATCAACTTCCTAGCATTGAACCACGAGCTTGAGGCACACCAGCAGAAGACCTTGAGGATCCCTGCAGCCAGGCACATCCCTCCTGCAGAAACACAACCTGCAAAAACATTCAGGACGTAACAAGAAATGCTCACATTCAGCCAGCTAGGTACCTTGGAAGCTACGAGCCTTCCTTGCCTGCTCAAGTGTGCAGCTTTAAATCCTGAGCCTCCCTATGCACCTTGTCCAGTGCCACAGCTATTTGGACATGCTCCCTCACCAAGATGGCTCTACAGATCAAGACCAGAGGGGAGAACTCTATCCTGAAAAAACATAAACAGATATTTTAGAGAAAGCTGCTTGCAAAAAGGCAGCTGAGAAAGAATGATGATGGGGATGCAGCAAAGGATACCGTGCTGCCAGAGTGAGGATAGGAACCACACTCAGATGTGGGTGGCCCTATTACCCCCTATGCCATGAGCTAACCAAAAGAACTCCAATCAAAATTCTCCCATCTCAACAGCAGGGAAAAGCACTCGCTGCTGAAGTGTGCAAAAGCAAAGAGCTTCATCAGCTTTAAGACACAGCTTGAC